ACCCACTCCTCTGGCCCTTGGGAGTTACCATTAGCCATAGCTGTCAAGCATGAAGCTCAGTGCCTAGTGAGAAGTGCTTCTGTATACATGAATTGTGATGAGAACCATGAATTCTGGAATGTTGAGAATCTATGTTTAGAACATGAGCCAGCTGTTTAAAATGGCACCTAGGAATAAGAGTTTTAAGGGCACATTATGACTGAAACTAGAAAGGAGCACGACACTAATGTAAGTGCTTTCCATACAGAGTTAGGAACAACTGATTCCTATCTTACACTCCCAAATCATACAAACACCAAAATTAAGGGAACTGTCTCACAAATCACCAAAGAAAACAGAGAAAAAGTATATTTGAAAATCAAAAACATCTCAGCATAAAAGGCATTATGAACTGAGTGCAAAAAAATCCCACAAAATGGAATAAAATATTTGTAAATTGTATATCTGAAAATGAATGAATAACCCATAACTATAAAGAATTTCAATCATCATCAACAACAAAACACCCCAAAACCAAAGAATGCAACTTGAAAAGGCAAAGGACTAAAAACAAACATCTCTCCAAAGATCATGTGGATCTCTGTTATTTGAAAACAAAGTAAGTTTTTGTGAGAAAGAGAAGATATTGTAACTTTATGTGTTGCTGTTAAGAATGTAAAATGCAGTAGGAGAGACTTTGACAGGTATTCAAAAAATTACCACATGACCTAGCAATTCCACTGCTGGGCATCTGCCCCAAATGACTGTTGAAAGAAAGATTCAGACAAGTGTGTGCCCACCCATAGCAACATGACTACAATAGTTCAAAGGTGTAAGCAACTGTGATTTTCAGCAATGGATGAGTGGATAAATAAAATGTAGTTTCTATGCATGTATTATTTGGCTTTTAAAAAAGAACATAACGCATGCTACAACTGGAAGAAACTTAAGGACTTTATGCTGAGGAAAATAAGGCAGTCATGAAAAGACAAGTATTGTATGACTTCACATTGATAAGTTTCCTAGAATGGCCACATTCAGAGACAGAAAGTTGCAGATGGTTGCAGAAGTGGCAATGATGAGTATGGGTAGTTACTCTAAGGTGAGTTGAAGATAGCACTTGAGAAGATAAAGAAATGGTCGGCAGTTGGATGGTGTTGTCAAGTGACAACATAAATGGATGTTTTGGCACTAAACTGTGCACTTCAAAATGGTTAGGATATGTCCATGATGTGTAATTTACACATGTACATACATATGTGAAACCGAAAATTAACTCTTCCATTCACGTTTCAATATACTATGTGATCCTACCCCATAATAAAACAGCAATGTTTACCCTGTATTGTCATAAATTCAAATTCTGAATGGATTTTCATTAGTTTCATCAAAGTAAGAGCATTTTCACAAAATTGAGATTCAAATTTACTTACCTATTCCGGATTTCAGTACAATCATCTCTCAGCAAAAGGATAATGGTGCCTGTGACCAGTCCCAAAACCAATGTGACAATTATCTTTACAAAGATAAAAATGAAAATTAGAAAGAAAAAATTTCAATTACAGGTAAAACTTTTTATTACCTAATCAAATCTCTCCACTGAAATACACACTTTAAATGGATTTGCCAGAGTAACTGGGGAATTATCAGACAGTGGTTATTATTAGAACATTTTTCTAAATTAAATTGTGAATATCAGGATTCTGTGTTTTGGGTACTGAGAGGACAAGAGAGCAGATGACTAGATGAGATAAGAATTTTCCCAGTTTCTACCAATCTCTGTCCATACAGGGTAGCTGTGTGAGGAAGGCATATGAGGGAGATGTTTTGGGAACAAAATAAGAATGCTGACTTAAACTGAATTTTCAACTTTTGTGCCTGTGAATGTGCACAGCTATAAACTTCAAGAGATTCAAATTAAAACAAGATGACTTCACTCTAATTGTGAGAAATAAAGGAAATTTCAGGGCTGCGGATATAGCTTAGCAATAGACTGCTTGCCTACCATGTGCCAGACCTGGGGTTTGATCCCCATCACTGCAAAGCACAGAAATACATAAAATTTTAATGCCACATCCAAATTCTAAGAATGGAATTTTGAATGATAAGGAAGAAGTGGAATGCACCTAGCTAACATGTGGGGAATCCCCATCTGCGCAGAAAAAGTGCATTGTCGCTGTCACCAAAGTACTTGGCCAAATGGGGTTACCCAAATCCTCCTATTACCATCTCCGCTCATATTTCTTGTCTTTCATTCCCAGCCAATGAGGCTCACAGATAACTTGACACACCTGAGTTGCCAATTCTTTGCCTTTCTCACCCATCTTCACCTACTCAGTCTATATACCTCCCAGAGAAAATGGAACAATATTACATTTCCTCTTAGAATAAAAACTCTCTTAAAGGTGCTTCAGTTGGCAAAAGATCAAGGTTACATTAAAACATATTTTATGTAAGGAATTCTTATAATTATGTGAATTAAATATAATAATACAGGAGGCAGGAATGTAAAGAAAACTAAATACCTACAAGTTATCTTGCAATAATCAAAGTTTAAAAAAAATCTCAATATTACAACAGTATCAAGCCATGAACTAATTTGTAATGGATACTTGGCAAAAATGCAGGCAACATGCAAAGAAAAGAACAATGAATTGTAAAGAATACTTTGTGAAGACCAGACTCTGGAAAGAAGATTATTGAAATGTTTCACCTATGAAATGTCCTTTGCTAATAATACAGAAATTTGGGGTGGGGGTAGGAATCTAATCCCCAGCTATATACCCCAAGACCCTCAGAATCTGTTCTGTATTACAACTAATCAAGTTTCCATAATCTATGCTAATGGCTCTACCAACATGTAGCATGGGCATCTATGTAAGACTCTATGCTTTCCCATTTTATAACTGTTAAGATATTCAGACTTCAAATTAGATACTCTGCATCCTTCATTTCTCTTGCATTCACACTTCATTTCTTTTACTGACTGAATATTATCATTTGGATATTCCTTAGTGATTTTTAGCCAATTTTCAAATATATTGACAAAATGATGAATCCATGATCATTCCATGCTTTTAAGAAGTTCACATGTATTGTATCTTCTTGCAGGAAAAAAAAACAAAGCCATTGAGTAAACTGAACATTTCACAACAGAGTAGATGAACCTAACTATGAGCTTTTTGTATATGTATAAATGGTCTCTGTTCAAAACAGAACAAGATGAGAAATTCTTCAACTATGTCATTCTCCCTTTTTCTAGAAGTATTTAAACAACACATCTCAAGGTATGGATTGATGGATATTTGTAGCTTGCACTAAAAAATTAAAAATTGAATGCATAATATTTAGCAAGAAGAGTGAAGCTGGTGTATTATTATTCCAGACCTTAAACTATACTACAGAACGATAGTAACAAAAACAGCATGGTATTGGCACCAAAACAGACATAGCATCACCCTGTCTTTAAAAAATGTGAAAAGGTGTGGGAATATGTCTCAGTGGTATAGCCTCCCAGTGTTAAATCCTCAGTACCAAACCAAACCAAACCAAACAAAACCCCACTTATATCAAGGATCAGTAAACTATGGGCCAAAACCCAATAGTTTGGTTTTTCCATTTTATTTTTTTTACTTTGGAGGTAAAATTTCAAGAATAATATTTCTTTCAATATGAATTTCAAAATCACTGTCCTTAAATAAAGTTTATTGGAATGCTGCAATGTTCATTTGCTCATATGTTAGCTGTGGCTGCTTTAATTATGAAATGGCAGAGTAGACTTTGTGAAACAAATGACATATGTGGCAATGAGTCTAAAATGATTACCTTCTGAGGTTTTACCTAAATGGGTTTGCCTGCTCCTGAGCTAATGTTTCAGCATTTAAAATCCTGAACAAGAGCTGTTCCACTGAGCTCAGTGTTCTACAAGGTTCTTCCCTTGCTATAGAGACTACTGCTTCTCTGAACATGCTGGAATTGCTTTTGGAGAACCGAGTTCAATGATGAGACAAGTAGGCTGAATGTGCTACCTGGAGGCTCTGGGCCTGCTGTTTGACTCTTAAGGAAGCCAAGGCTCAAAACACTCATAATCCTGATGTAAAAACACCTGTGTTCTAATAACATTTTGCCCAGAATACCATGTTTCTTGGATAAGACACTTAAAAATCAGTTTTAGAGACATGTTAGAAAAGCCTAATGAATAAATCACTCTGAAGAATCAGCTTATTATACTGCATCTTCCTGTTGAACAATGGGGTACCAAAGTTAATGCATCTAATTGGCCTGACATTTTTCTAAATGTCGTCAAATCGATGATCTAAGAATAAAATATTGTCCTTGAACAATGGGACACAAAACTGCTTGAGAAAAATGCCAAATCACATGGACTAAAGAAGTCTGAAACAATGAATATCATCACTGAAATGGGGATGCAGGCCCTCAGGTACACCTGGAGAGCAACAATACTTAAATATGAAAATGTGGTGCTTATGCTGAGAAGTCAGTTTATTAAGCCAACAACATGCCATATCTTAATAAACAGAAATGCAATGATTGACAATGAAAATATCAATAAAATAATAACCAGCTAAATTGATTTCCCTAATTGATTTCCCTACAAATGTTGGACAATAATAACCAGCTAAATTGATTTCCCTACAAATGTTGGACAAATTAATTGAAGGAACAGTGTTTTGTGTGACATAGGGATTAAGATTAACTAATAAATAGGCCAGATATATAGCCCAATAACAGAGCACTGGCCTAGCATGTGTGAAGTTCTGAGTTCAATCCTCAGTATTGCAACAAACAAACAAACAAACAAAACAAAATAAAATAAAAACCCGGAGGACTGAAAACACCTACCACAAAGTAGATGAAAAGGAGAAAAGAACACCATCATATCTTATTTAAGGCAATTAACCCCACCATGAATATTCTTGTTGTATCTGGTTACTTCCTTTGCATAAACCACACATACTTTGAGTTATCTATTGCTTTGCCAATATTAAAATCTCTCAATGACCAGCGTCAATCCTAAGGAATAGCATTCTGCCTACAGTCTCCTCCCTCAGACAGTGGACAGAACAAACTACCTTCAGGAATATAAATGACACTGGGTTCCTTCAACACCTGATTTTATTGGCAAATCAATCCTCTTCTCCCTATTTTGAGCCTTCTCTCTTCTTCATTTCTATGATTTCTCTCTTTCCTTCCTCATAGTTCATCCTACCATCTGACATAGTCTGTATTTTCTTTATTCATCTATCATTTCCCTTCCCTCATATGGAAAAAAAAAATCTACACAAGCAGAGATTTTTATTTTTACTCATTTCATTCACTAGTATAGTAGAGTCTCCAAATGGAACACATGATATTTCAATGTATCTTTGGAATGAGTCAATAAATGACAATGGACAGCTCTCAGCAAATTCCATATGTGGTTGGTATTATCTGTCTGAACATTTTTAACAAATAAAAATTTGACTAACATTATCCATTATAGTGTGTGTGTGTGTATATATATATATATTTGAGTTGTATCATCATCATTTTTGAGTTGTATAGTACAGAAGCCACTTAAAGAGCTTTACATGAGTAAAAATTCAATTGCTTTTTACCTGTTGTGTTTCTCAACTTTTATCACTGTGACAAAAATAAAAATTTAAAATACCAAGAAAGAACATATTATGGTTAGACATTAGATGTCCCCCAAAAGCTCCTATGATAATACAGGAAAATTCACAGGTGAATGATTGAATTGTGTAATCTAATTTGTCTGTCCTAGTTTGAATGGACTGACTGGGCAGTAACTGCAGGCAAGTGGGCTGTGGATGAAAGAGATGAGTCACTGGGAGTAAAGCAGGGGATGCCCTGAAAGCATTGTTCTTCCTGCAGCCCTGCTCCCTCTCTCTGCTTCTTGACCCCATCATGAGCTGGACAGCATTTTATGCTGAGCCCTTCCTCCATGATGTGCTGCCTCATGGTGGGCCCAGAACAATGCAGTCACTTCTCTATGAATTGAAACTTCTGAAGCCATGATCCCCAAATAAATGTTTTTTTTTTTCTCTAAGTTGTTTTTGTCAGGATACTGGTCACAGCAACATGAAAACCAAGTAAGAGAGAAATTTTATTTTGACTCACAGTTTTAAACATGTCAGTTCAGATTCTGTGGTTTAAGAGTAAGGTGGGGCAGAACTTCAAGGCATGTGGGTATGGAGGCTGATAGCTGCTCATCTCATGGCAGTCCGTAAACAGAGCAAGAAAGGTGTCAGGGACAACATAACACTTCCAAGGTAGGCAACTTGACCTACTTCCTCTCTCTAGATCCTGATTGGTACAGTTTACATCACCTCCTAAAAATGTCATCAAATTATGAATCCATCAAAGGATTAGTCCATTGATGATGTCAAATGACCAGCCTTCAACAATGAGTTTTGGGGGATCATTCATATCAAAGATAATACACTAGATTGATTGGTTGTTTCTAAATTCCAAATGGAGGGGGTGTGACTAATAAA